TCTATCTATCTATCTATCTATCTATCTATCTATCTATCTATCTATCTATCTATCTATCTATCTATCTATCTATCTATCTGTCTGTCCTGTCTGTCTGTCTGTCTGTCTGTCTGTCTGTCTGTCTGTCTGTCTGTCTGTCTGTCTGTCTGTCTGTCTGTCTGTCTGTCTGTCTGTCTGTCTGTCTGTCTGTCTGTCTGTCTGTCTGTCTGTCTGTCTGTCTGTTCTGTCTGTCCTGTCTGTCTGTCTGTCTGTCCGTCCGTCCGTCCGTCCGTCCGTCCGTCCGTCCGTCCGTCCGTCCGTCCGTCCGTCCGTCCGTCCCGTCCGTCCGTCCGTCCGTCCGTCCGTCCGTCCGCCCGCCCGCCCGCCGCCGTCCGTCTGTCCGTCTGTCCGTCTGTCCGTCTGTCTGTCTGTCTGTCTGTCTGTCTGTCTGTGCATGCGCCCGCTCATTCCTTTTGGCTATGACGGCAGTCTTTACATTTTGCGCACCGCTCTTCTACAGTACTAACTCGATAACTCACACATACATGACAATGTAATCGGATATTTCTGAAATTATATAGAAAGCAAAGTATGCCAGACCCACTGCTTCTTTGATTAAGAATCCAGACCTGCAAACCGTATACCCAATCAAGTGGTAACATCTTGAGCAGCCAAACTCCCTTTGAAGCCCTGTTCGTTTGCTGAAACAAACACCCAGGAAAGTCCGAGACAACCAGACTGGCGAGCGATGTCCGCCTAATGATGCTTTCCCTCCATTTTCCGCCAAGGAAGACAGTGTCATGGGAATGTTTACTTAGTCGTGCTTTGCAAACTGCCGGAGTAGCGAAGTCAAGTGTTGCACAGAACTGTCTCAATGAGGGTTAAATTGGTGCGCCTTTCTGGCAAGTCCAGCCTGGTGGACGTCAAAAAGCCATGTTTGTTTAACCGAGATTGGCTGTGTACAGAAAATGGAATTTCTAAAAAGGGGGCGCTAAGTACCGTTGGAGGAAGCTGAAGCAAGAACTGAGACAGGGATCGGATTTCACGGCCAGGGAGGATTTCATGAAAAGGTCAAGAAAATCCGTTGTGAATTCCGTATAGTTTATAGTATCATTGCAATATGTTAAGGTCCCATTCTTGAAATTCAGACAGCGTCTGTAGTTTAGGAGTTCCCGCATAGAATGTTCTATTCAGATGCTTGTTTTTTGGCACAAGACCGCTTTTAGTTGATTTCACAGTAATCGTCGAAGTTGCAGTTGCAAATTACTTAACCAAAAAAATAAATAATTGTCTAATAAGAAAAAATACACGATCCTTGTAATACACGTTGGCGTCTGTGGCGAACACGCTTTATAATTCCGAGTTACCGGGTTCGATCCACGCTGCGGGCGCTTTGGCATCAGACCACCGTCTGTTAGTTTAAACAGCGGTATCGAGTCAGGGCTGTCAATAGGATTTTTCTGAAATACCCAGCTTAGCTGAACAAAAACCCAAGCAATACATAGACAGAAAACAAAAACAGATTGTTAAAATGTACAAAATGTATAGTTACGAAACGAAACATTTACCACTTTTATATAAAGGATATAATTTAAAAAAAAAAAAAAAAAGATTTCCCCAAGGCGTCATATAAAAACCCAGATCTGAGGAGAAAAACCCAGCATTAGCAGCCCTGCATTGAGTGCCAGCCGTGCAGTTGGCGCATGAAAACTACTGCCTGTTGAAATCACAGATAGCCGTAGCAATTCTGAGGGTGATTCTGTATCGTGATGTAATGGATACGCAAGTAACACACAGTTCTTTCTGTACAAGCACATTATGAAAACACCAGTGGCCATGCTGACCTCATATTCTGATGATAACCTTTTTGATGACATGTGCGAAGATGAAACCAATGTTTGCAAATGTGAACAATTGATTCCAACACTACATTGTTCTCCCCATTCTCCGATTATTGTTAACTGTTGCGATAATTCTTGTAACTTTACCGTAATTTACCCAGTTCCCTAATGTGAAATGAAAGCACCCTTTAAAACATCGTTAGTCTAAAGGCAGCGAGGACAAGTAATTAAAACCTTTTGCCGATTTGATGTTTTGTGTGCGTTGGGGACAGACTCCATGTTTGAAGGACTTACATGGAAATGACACGATCGACTCCTCAAACGATATCTAGGTCGTTGCTTCCATCTAGACCCAGGGCGTGAAAACGCGCTGTTGTATCAATTACAGGAGGTGCCGTCTGCTTCCAATTGGACATCAGAAGCTATAACAGGAGATCAAAGGGGATCCAATCATTACCCCTAGCTTTTATGGCTTAGAAGAATTAGGGTAATGCTTGCCATAATTAGCGATCATGGGTAGGACAATTTATGTGGCTTCCCAGGAGTGTTCTGTTTAGGGTTCAAGGAATGACCGGGAAATATTGCTCAAGCAGATGTCACTGGTCACTTTAATAGTTGTGTGCGTTTTCTTGTTGATTGATAGAGGGTGGCAAGTAGGTGGTTGGTTAGTAAACAGACGGTCAGACAGACAGACATTCAATCAGAGTGTTCCATTAGTTTCCATAATAAGAAGAGGAAAAAAACATTCATTTATGAAAACAATTGTAATTATTTTTTTTTTAATATGCTTCAGAGTGTGGCTCTCACACTTACTAATGCGCGGCCCTTCAATACAGTTCCCTCTTGTTATAGCGACTCCCAAACAATTATTTTTCTTCATAACTTCACCGAATATTAGTTTTGTGAAGGTCTTAAGCGACCCATGTGAAAGGGGCGTTTGATCCACACACAAAAAGAGGTCGCGACCGACAGTGTGTCGATTCTTAATTCAACATTCAACAACCTTCAACTTTTACTAGTGGACGCACAGCAGCGAGTCTCCATTATGGAGGCGGCACATTGTTTCACCGTTATTTCTTAAGTGTATATTTGGTACGCCACATAATGAGAAGAGAGACATTAGAGAACATCGTGACAACTGGAAAGATCAGTGGAAAAAGGAGTAGAGGCAGTCCAAGAGAGATGATGCTGGATGGGCTGAAACGATGGCATGAGGGGGGGGGGGGGAAATATCATCAAGAGAGCTGTTCTAGGCAACCAGGGATCGTGATCTGTGGAGACGCATGAGCGCCTACGCTAGTTGGCAGGGCACATGATGATGATGACATTTGCTACCCGAGGGGGTAAAATACAGACTTATGAGTTTTTTTGCATCGTTTTTTTTTCGGGTAGTCTTTGCGGGAATTCTGAAAATAGAAGAATTAAAATACACTCATTTAAAACAAATGTCTACATAAGCATGAATCTGCCATCAGTATACATTAACGTCGATGCTGATGAAAGCACAGTCTGGGTGCAGTATATGTCCCTGCGCACATAAATTTCCTTCCTATACATTAATGCCTGCGTGAAATTGCTGGCTATTTTATTCTTAGTGCTTATTTGTTTGCATATGTCTCTACCTTTTGCTATGTCTGTCCGAGGTTACGTCTATAAATTCGTCCGTCTGCCAAGCTGTCTACTTGTTTGCGTAGCTTACAGTTGGTGCTTCTGTGTGTGCATTGGTCTGTCTGTCGATATTTTCCTTTCTCTCTATCTCTCTCTCTCTCTCTGTCTGTCTGTCCGTCTTTCTCTCTCTCTCCCCCCCCCTCTCTCTCTCTCTCTCTCTCTCTCTCTCTCTCTCTCTCTCTCTCTTTCTCTGTCTTTCTGATTTACTCAGGCCCTCGCTTCTTCACTATCTCACTGACTGCTTAGTTTGCCTGTCTGTGTCAAGATTATTGTGTAATGATGTAGTGTATTCTCTTTGAGTAATCAGTCATCATCATCATACTCATAATAAACCACTTCTGCCGTTAAGCGGCGTGGGAAGAAATAATTTGCTATCCAGTTCACGTTGGCTACCACTGGCTATTGTCATGCCGTGAAGGCGTTGTATATCTTTAATGTTGTTGATCCATGTATCTGCGGCCGTCCTCTTGCTCTTGTAGCTGATCTTCTGAAATGTAGTGCTTTTGATGGTATTTGATCTTGCTGCATTCTAACGAGATGGCCAAACTACCCAATCTGCTGTTTCTCGATGTATCTAGTACAAGGTGTCGTTCCTACAAGTTTTCTGAGGCTGTCCCTCTTTTTTCTCTGTCTATTCCTCCCTCCCTTTCTCGCAACACACATACCAAACACATACATGTGTATGTGCTTGTAATGTAAAGTTGACCATTCCTATTAGATACTGGGGGACAATACCATACGATTTTATGTCCTAGATTTTTCTTCTTCTTCTTCTTCTTCTTCTTCTTCTTCTTCTTCTTCTTCTTCTTCTTCTTCTTCTTCTTCTTCTTCTTCTTCTTCTTCTTCTTCCTCTTCTTCTTCTTCTTCTTCTTCTTTATCTTCTTCTTCTTCTTCTTCTTCTTCTTCTTCTTCTTCTTCTTCTTCTTCTTCTTCTTCTTCTTCTTCTTCTTCTTCTTCTTCTTCTTCTTCTTCTTCTTCTTCTTCTTCTTCTTCTTCTTCTTCTTCTTTATATTCTTCTTCTTTATCTTCTTCTTCTTCTTCTTCTTCTTCTTCTTCTTCTTCTTCTTCTTCTTCTTCTTCTTCTTCTTCTTCTTCTTCTTCTTCTTCTTCTTCTTCTTCTTCTTCTTCTTCTTCTCCTCCTCCTCCTTCTTCTTCTTCTTCTTCTTCTTCTTCTTCTTCTTCTTCTTCGTTTACCGGCTGTGAATTCCAGCGAAAGGTCCCGGTTTATCGTCCGCTGGAACTTTTGGCTTTTACCTGGACCTGAGTTTTGCGTGTACAACCGTTTTACTGGCTTTTGCTGATACATGATAAAAATGACAAGCTGTCACATGGAATGATCGCCCACGCCAGTCGGCAACACACTTGATGATGATAATAATCTAAGATAGTGGTTTTCAACTGTTTTTCTCCGACACGATCTTCTCCTCTCATTCTAATACAAACTGCTCTCATTCTATCTCAGACGAATTTCTCTCATTCTCCCTAATGTGGAAACCTGTTCTGTGCTACCAGGTGATGGCTTGGACAACAGTGTGGGTTCTGGCGAGGGAACAGCAGATGAAGACGATGACAGAACATCAAAGAGAAATAAAAAACGCGGCATATTTCCAAAGGTGGCCACTAACATCATGAGGGCCTGGTTGTTCCAACATCTCTCGGTAAGTTTTCTATAGTTGTTGTTGTTGTTGAAAGGGGGGGGCGGGCGGGGGGGGGGGGGGGGGATCATTCCCTTTTATTTCAGCGTGTATGTTTGCGAGTATTGTGATTTTTTTTTTTTTTTTTTTGTTAGCGTGGAAGTATTGTTTTGTTTAGGTATTGTTAGTATGTTTACATCTGTTGCCGTTTGTAAATATTTGTTGTGCTTTACATGTTGTTTAGAATTAAAAAAAAAATTTAAAAAAGAATAGAAGGGTGTGTGGGAGGTCGACAATAGTAGGGATATGGCCTCATTTTGGTGATCATCTTGGTGGCAAGTCTTTCATTGGTCTGATTGGTTTAGTTTTCGTTGAGGTTTTGATCATTTTTCCAGCGCTCATATTATCTGTCTACTTTGTTTTGTAAGTTTTGTGTGTGAATTTGGATCTATACTGTTCAGCAAAAGACACGCATGGTTTTTGGACGGCACGTTTTTATTAGTTGTGGGGAAAGCCGTCTGCTTAAAATCTATCGATGACCCAGATGCAGAAGCGCCTCTGTTACTTCACGTCCTTTTTAAGATAAAATTTTTCGTTATTTGAAGCCCCACCCTGGCTATTTCCAGGGGCCGCAATATAGCTAGGCCATGAATCTGAACAATTGGCTGAACCTCTCCTCGGTGAACCTCATCCACATGGTGGCACATTATGTCATTGGGTGTTTATCGCTTGTGTGATGTCCTGGTGGGGTAGAAAGTCAGTCAGATGCAAAAGAATTGTCCACTGATTTGGTGACCCTAAAGTATTCTTTTGTGCAATTTCAACAGTTCCACTTATTAAATTAAAAATATTTTAGTGGTTATAATTATGACAATATTTTGTTCCCCCCTCAGTAGCTATGCTTTTTATTCAATAGTAAAGTTGAATTATTTGTCCAGTGAAAATGTGTAATCAGTTGAAATATGCGCCTAGATGAATTATTTGTCTGTTTCTGTTTCATATCTGTGTCTGGTTGAATTCTGTGCCCAGACAAATTCTCTACCTAACTAAAGTCTGTATTCAACTGACTGACTCCCCGAGACACACGAAAGCCTTAAACCGATAACTAAAATAGACGTATAAAATCGATTTTTTTTTTTTTTGGACATGCTGTAAAAGTAAAAAGTAAAGATCCCTTTTCACGCCTTATGCGCAGCAGGCATATGGGAAGAGGGTCCCATATTTTTACAGACCAGTCGGCACTGAGTGGGTTATGTGGTCAGCATTAAGCCGGTTGTCTTTACTTCCCCAGGACATACATCCTGGTACCCATTTTAGGCTGGGTCGACCAGCGAGGCCCCGCACTACGATAAAAATACAAGCAACCAGCAGTGGGTTTCGATCGCGGTACTTTGGAATTACAAGTCGGACTGGCAACGCCTAAGCCACGGACGCCGCTTGGACATGCTGTAGGGAGGAATTAACTGGGTAACTTGGTCACGACTGACAAAATGTGTGGAACGAGCGCAAGAGGAAGGCAAAGAAAAGAATATCTGGATGGCTCAATCATGTTTCTTTGGTGGGACAAGAACACAGACCGGATCTGTGCTTTATGTGGTTGTGCAAGATATATATTTGAAGTAATTGTTCCGTTAAAGGAATGCCTTGACTAAACTTTTAGCATCAAAAGCCTGCGATATACAGGGAAATGAAAGCGCAGCAGCAATTTTGAAGAAAACTGTGACTGCAAAATGGTTGTTGAAATGAACAATACAACAGAAAGAAGGAAACGTAATTAAGAAAATTGAAAGAAATATTTAGATATTTGAAAAGAAAACTGAAGAAGAAAAGTCGAAAGCAAGAAAGCGAGAGATAAACAGGGATGCGATAACAGTAGAAGAGCAATAACATTCATTGGCAGTCGGATAAGGTACAACCAGGGTAATCAAAACACAGTGTTGGAGATTCAAAACAACAAGCCTTGATTGCGGAGACGGTACATAACTGTTTGAATGTACACTAGAAAGTTACAGACATTTTTGAAAAAAGAGAATAACAAATCTTGGCGCTGAAACTAACTTCCTGCGCCACATTAAAGGTAAAAGACATTAAACTTAACAAAATATTCTATAAACGCAACACTGATTCTTACATGTGGGCTTATTCACTATTTACACCCCTAAAAAATATAATTTAGCTTTAATTAACTTGTGAAAATTGAATTAATAAAGACATAATAAAAAATAGAATAGCTAGTCAGCTTTACAAGAACACAATCACAAGAGATAAAATACGGCGTTTTTACAAAATTGCTTTCATCAGCAAATGAAACAAAAACTAAAACTGTAAACACATTTTCTTTCCCTTCTATAGCTTCTTACACTGAAATGTTTTTGTTGGTTTAGCACTTCATACCCCATTTCTTTTTATATTTTTATATATATATATATATATATATATATACTATATATATATATATATATATATATATATATATATATATATATATATATATATATATATATATATATATATTTTTTTATGATTTTTTTAAATTTTTTAATTCTTGAAGCAAAGCGGACCAAAGTCGGAATTGGTAACTACCCGCATCGGCCAATTATAAAACAAAAAACAACAAAAACAAAAAGACGAAGAAACTGAGTGTAGAACTGAGCACATGTTGATATATGTGTCGCGGCTTTGTAGCTGTCTGTTTTTGATTAAGTTGCCGCCTTTTAATCGCGTATATTCATTTTTATTATTACTTTTATGTCTGTTTATTTGTCTGCTTCTCGTCTTGTGTTTCTGTTGAGACACATCGTAGCAGTGGTAATGATAAATGGGAGCTTACGATTTTTTCTTCTTTCCATGTACGTGCCATTTAATTGCTCTGTCTGTTTCCTTCCTTGACGTGAAGATTTTTCTCGTTTTTCTTCTTCTACATCTCCATCTTCATTTTCCTTAAATTCTTAGTCTTGTTCTTGTTGTTATTCTGCCTTTTCTTCTACATCTTCGTCTCCATCGTCACACTGTTTTTGTTCTTGTTCTCATAGCTCTTCTTCCTTTTCTTCTAAACCTTCCTCTTCCTTCTATTCTTGTTTTCATATTTTGTCTTCTTTTTTTTTCTACACCTTCGTCTTCATCTTTCTTCTATACTTGTTCTTGTTCTCATAGTTATTCTTCATTTTCTTCTACATCTTCGTCTTCCTCTTCCTCCTATTCTTGTTCTTGATCTTGTATTAATGAATTATCATTTTGAAGATACAAATTTTCTAATAGCCCATTCATTCATCTTCAGAATGATAATTCAATCAAAAACACGTGTTGCAAAATAATTAAACTGTAGTTCAATTTGTGTATAAATCTACCCGATAACAATTGTTGACACTGACTGGCCACACCAGCCTCACAAAAAACGGGAATTACCTTTTGAGCTGTTTGGCCTTATATCTGGAGCTGGCCGTGGTTCCACATAATGGCCACATATAAAATACTTATGTAAAATTTCTAAAACGTAACAAATCATCGGACATGATAATCTTCTTCGCGTTCACCAGATGTAAACTCTGGAGCAAAGTTCTGGTTGTTCATCCACTTCTGGACTCTAGTCCCGTTCCAGAACCTGAGTGTTGCGTGTGCATCCGTTTTACAGATCGGACTCATTTGTATTAAGACTGCGGGTTCCTTGCCTCTCAGGCAGATGCACTCCGACTTCGAAGCAAGCTTCCAATTAGTCGACTCTTACGGCATGCTTTTATGTAGGCAGTGGGTCTATTCTTGTTTTCCCTATAATAGGGCCCCGGAACCCACACAGGGAGGATATGAGAATAAAAGTACAGTTTGTCTCAGCCAGGGTCACATACTATCAAATTAGAACGAAAGTACTAACTTCAACAGCCCTGATCCTGACCTACTTCCATTAATAGAGATCTTCCTCCTTGACATCACCAGGAGTTATCTCAGAGAGAAAAGCGCATCTCCGGGACTGCACGCACATCAGTCTGCCGGTCCAAATATCACCGGACAGGTGGAAGTTTCACTAGGGTCTCGCCCAGAAGAATGTTTCCGAATGGTTACTTAAACAATTACCTAGCAGATTCGAAGCCCTTGATGTCATTGGATAGATATATTACGAAATGCATGAACTTCTAATGGTTCTTTTGCTGTAACCAGTCATTGGAAAAGTATAAATGGTTGACTACACGATCTATTCATAGGAATTCGCTTTTAAAGGGCAGAATATTTTCCCTTGTTCGTTGCTATGATTTTTAAACTTTTGTTTTTAAATTAAATTTTTTGCACTTTTATATTTAAAAAAATATCCATTTAGGTGCATATCATCTTTAGGATGTCACGAAACAGAACTAACGTTTAGTGTTTGTTTTACTGGGTAATTTTACATTCTGTAGCCTGGCAGGGATATTTCTGAACGATCATATATTGTCATAAGCATCGCAAAGCCATCTCCATCGTCGTCTTCCAGTGTCAAGTCTTGTTTGCTCGTCCACTTCTGGACTTTTATTTGTTCTGGAACGTGAGTTTTGCGTTCATGCCTATTTTTTTTTCAGATCTAGCTTGTTTTTATGCAGTCTGTTAGTTCTTAGCCTCTGACATCCGCCCCCACCCCCTTTTTTTTTTCTCCGCCCCCTCCCCCACGATCTACTAAATAAAATGGGGTCCGGAACACACACAGCGGCAATGGCAAGCCTCTAAGCAAAACATTGTCTAGTTAAATCACAACCAGCGAAAAGAAAATGAATAAGTAAAGGCTACTCAACATAAGTGAAAAGAGCAATCGATAAACGCGTGGCAAGTTCCTTCGTCCTGAAAGATTTCACGAGGAAAAAACTTGCAACGAAACGCTTGAGAATAATTAGCTCTAAGAACTAGACCGAATGCTCAAGATGCAACGCAGTGGCGCTGTCCAAAAGACCATGTATAAGGCACAGTTTTCTACGTAAAAAACTGGCACAATACATATTCTGTTTGGGCCCACCGTAATCCTGGGGACCCGAGTAGATGCAAGACGTCATCAGTGCCCAGTC